GTACGCAGCCCCAAACAGTTTCTTTCGAAACTATCAGCCTTTATTGACTACTTGGTGGTGGAGACCTTTTGGACTGCATCTACCTGTCTCTAAATGTATTTAATTTTTTAACAAGTTAACAAAGTTGTCTTTTGAGGTGTGTCTTTGACTTGTTATAGAATCTGATAAGCATCTTCAACAGGCCACTGACTTCACATTGAAACTGGAAGCAGCTCAGATGTAAGAGAGTGTTAAATGATAAAATCATGTAATTACACTTGTATGTAAGGTTGTCATGATTTAGGTTTGGTTTGAAAAGCCAGAACCACCTCAATCTAAATTAAATGCTTACCTTGGGTTTGTTTTTAAAATAATAAAAGTGATTTGATATGGGAATTAATTTTGGAAAAAATTGTTTGATGCAAGAAAAACTTAGAACATCATAGGATATACACTTTTAAGAATTAATACCTTTGGTACTATTTTAAAAATAATGTTATTTTTATTTGTATTTAGAAATTTATGAATTAGGATTGACACCCCTCGTTGGGAGATGATAAATTATATGATTGTGTTGTATGACATAAGTGTTTTGTACCCCAAAAGGGAATACTGGAACAAATTCTTGCTTGCCTTTAGCATTCTTAAATTTTCTGGAAAGTATATGTTAGCAATCTTCATTCTCTAAATGTTAACAGTATCTGGAATTGTTGTACGGTGTGTATGTACCCTAATTTTGTACTTTGACTGCAGGAAAATTGAAGCTTTGCAAGGCAAGCTTGACAGGGCATTACATTCTACTGAACCTCTAAGGAAGGTATATATCTTTATTGTTGTTCAACATTGTGGCAAATAGAAGGCATTTGTAAAGTGATTTGATTGTGTGCTAAATGATCTGATTTGAATGTCAATTGAATACCCCACCCCCACTCCCCAGAGGTCAAATATGATGATGACAGTGTACTAAATGATCTGACTTGAATGTCAATTGAATACCCCACCCCACTCCCCTGAGGTCAAATATGATGATGACAGTGTGCTAAATGATCTGACTTGAATACCCCACCCCCACACCCAAGAAGTCAAATCTTATGATGGGGTTGGAGTTGCTTGATTTGATGTCTAAATCTAAATCTAAAC